TCTGGTGCTATCAAGCCTATATCAAGTGCCATCTATCTGATGCTATCAAGACAATACCAAGTGCCATCTATCTCGTGCTATCAAGACAATATCAAGTGCCATCTATCTGGTACTATCAAGATAATATCAAATGCCATCTATATGGTGCTATCAAGATAATATCAAGTGCCATCTGTCTGGTGCTTTCAAGACAATATCAAGTGCCATCTACCTGGTGCTATCAAGACAATATCAAGTGCCATCTATCTGGTGCTATCAAGATAATATCAAGTGCCATCTATATGGTGCTATCAAGATAATATCAAGTGCCATCTGTCTGGTGCTTTCAAGACAATATTAAGTGCCATCTATCTGGTGCTATCAAGACAATATCAAGTGCCATCTATCTGGTGCTATCAAGATAATATCAAGTGCCATCTATCTGGTGCTATCAAGACAATATCAAGTGCCATCTATCTGGTGCTATCAAGATAATATCAAGTGCCATCTATCTGGTGCTATCAAGCCTATATCAAGTGCCATCTATCTGGTGCTATCAAGACAATATCAAGTGCCATCTATATGGTGCTATCAAGCCTATATCAAGTGCCATCTATCTGGTGCTATCAAGACAATATCAAGTGCCATCTTTATGGTATTATCAAGATAATATCAAGTGCCATCTATCTGGTGCTTTCAAGACAATATCAAGTGCCATCTATATGGTGCTATCAAGCCTATATCAAGTGCCATCTATCTGGTGCTATCAAGACAATATCAAGTGCCATCTTTATGGTATTATCAAGATAATATCAAGTGCCATCTATCTGGTGCTTTCAAGACAATATCAAGTGCCATCTATCTGGTGCTATAAAGACAACATCCACTGCCACCCAACTACTCCTTACAATGCCTGACAGCAAAAGTGGACCGTCATGATAGTGATGACTAAAAAAAGTTAAGGAACAAGAGTGACTGAAGCCAGGAACATGATATTTGCCAAAATAAGAACAAATCAGAGCTAGGGTAAATACCAAATATTTAATGAAAAATTATTTCTATTTACATGGCAAACTATAAAAAAGTTTAGCACTGACATTACATTAGGTGTTCACATTTACATATTTATGTGTTGGAAATGCTCTTTAAGAATAATGTTGGTTTCAAGATGTACACACAAATAAAATTCAAAGTACTACTTCTTCTTTAGTTCTGTTTTGCTCTATAGCTTCAGGTTTTGAAGAGACATCGTACGTGAGCCGTGGTATGTTCTACAGTCCAAGATATTCCATCTATCCATTAGCTGTGTGGTCCACCTCTGGCTCTGCTTCCATGATGGTCACAGGGCTCCCTGTGGAGCACTGTTTGGTGGTAGTCTTGACTCATGTCTGAATCATTTGATCTGTTGTCTCTTGATGTAGTTTAGTATTGGTAGTACTTGAATTTTATGTGCACATCTGCTTATCTGTGTGCAGACTGTTGGTTCCTCGTTGGAGGAAAAATCTTCAATTATTCTAACTTTTATGACATGCTTGAGAGGGAAGCAGTGGGTCTATTTTCTCTCTCTCTCCCCCCCCCCCCCCCCCCCCCCCAATCCATAAAGAGGTCCCGGAACCCACACGAGGCATCTGTAGTAGTAAGTGGAGTAAGGAGGGGTAAATAAACTGAATGGGCTGAGCTCCAGAGATATTGAGGCAAAAGTCAGACATGATGAATCACCTGTAGGACATGGGTACTGAGCCAGGATAAGCATGCAGGTACAGGCTGTAAGTAAGTAAATACATTTGACCCCACCAGGACATCACACAGAGAGATAAACACCTGATGACACAAAGTGCCACCATGAAGATGAGGATCACCCGTGGAGAGGTCCCAGAAACCTCTTTCAGCCGTTAGGCCATATATATCTTCTTCTTCTGCCTTTCTATCCCCCAATGGAGCACAGGCCCTCAACCAACTCACGCCAAGTCGTTCTATCCTTTGCCATTGCATGGAGCTCACCCCATTTCCTTCCCATCTTTCTAACTTCATTCTCCAGCTCTCTTCTCCATGTGTTTTTTGGCCTTCCTTTATTCCTATGCCCCTGTGGGTTCCAATGCAAAGACATTCTAGTTATGCTGTTCTCCCAGTGTGTGTCCTATCCAACGCCAGCATCTTTTCCTCACCTCTTGGTCCACTGGAGCCTGTTTAGTTCTCTCACAAAGTTCTACATTAGTTATTCTATCATACCATTTAATTCCCTCTATTCTGTGCAGGCACCAGTTAATGAATGTCTGTAATTTATTAGTAATTGACTTAGTTGTTCTCCATGTTTCCGCCCCATACAATAGTACTGATTTGACATTAGAATAAAAAAATTTTTAGTTTAGTATTTCTTTTAATTTCTTTTGACATCCACAAATTCCCTAGTGCTATGAAAGCCCCTCTTGCCTTTTGTATTCTTATTTTAATATCTCTATCATTTCCTCCATCTTTATCTACATTACTGCCCAAATAGGTGTACGACTCCACATCTTTGAGTGGGGATGCCATTAAGAGAAACCACATTACTATTTGCCTGATTTATTATCTTTTGTCTTTCCTTTATGGATTTTCAGACCAAGCTGCTGTGATCTCGCATCAAGTATATTTAATTTATCTTGCATCTGATTCCGTGAATGGGACGGAAGAGCAATATTATCAGCGAAGTCCAGATCATCAAGCTGTTTTGTAGAGGTCCACTGAATTCCATTCTTGCTGTTAGCAGTTACTGTCTTCATAATACAGTCTATAGCCAGCAAAAAAAAGAGAGGCGACAAAAGACATCCCTGTCGCACACCTGTTTTTATTTCAAATGCATCTGTTAGCTTTCCCTCATGAAGAACTCGACATTTCATGTCTTTATATGTTGCCTTTTCTAAGTTGATAATTTTCTGTGGGATTCCATAGTGCCCCATCAATTTCTAGAGAGATTCCCTATCAATGCTGTCAAATGCTTTTTCATAGTCTATAAATCCAATGTAAAGTGGTGAGTTCAGTTCAATGCTTTGCTCTATTATAATACGTAATGTGGCTATCTGGTCAGTACAGGATCTGTTTGACCGAAAACCTGCCTGCTCATCTCTTAGCCTTTTATCAATAGCATCTTTTAATTTTTCCAAAATAATTCTACTTAATATTTTTCCAGGAACTGACAGTAACATAATTCCTCTATAGTTTTCACACTCCTGTAGATCACCTTTTTTGGGCAGTTTCACAAGATATCTTTCTCTCCAGTCTGCTGGTATTTCTTCGGTCTCCCAGACTTTACTGAATAATCTACGTAGCAATTCTGTTGATGTGTTTATGTTGGTCCTGATGACTTCAGCTGGGATAGGCTGGGCCTGTCACCTTTCCTTCCTTGAGAAGATTGATAGCTTTTCTAATTTCCTCTTTGGATGGTATCTCACAGTTGATATCCAGTTCCATTTTTAAAGGCTGGATATCTGGGGAAACCTCTGGGCCTGGTCTATTTAGAAGCATTTCAAAATATTCAACCCATCTGTCCATTTGATCTTTAGTGTTGGTAAGTACCTTTCCTTGACCATTTTTGATTGATCCAGTTGGCTGACTATATTTACCTACTAATTTTCTTGTGTTACTGTAAAGTTTGGCCATATTTATAGCCGGGCTATATTCAGGGCACCCGGCAAAAGCCAGGGTGGGGTTTCAAATAACAAAAAAATTTGCATTCCACATGGGAAAGACGATACAGGCTGTAGGTCAAAGAAAGAAGATATCCCAATCAGCTCTTACTGGGTACGATGTGCACAGAGACAGAGGGCTGCTACTTGGGAGGACGCAGAATAATTGGGTCTGACTGATCTGCTAGGATGTCAGCAAAGACAAGTAACAAGTAAAGGGCCCTTTTCCACGCCTTCTGGCGTACTAGGCATATAGGGCTAGACCTATATTTTATAAACCAATCAGCACATGTAGGGTGATGTGGCCAACATTGTACTGGCCATCTTGACTTCCCAGGTACCCATATAAGGCTGGTGGCCAAGGTTGCTTTTAACAAAAATTCCAGCAAGTAACATGTAAATTGGTGTATACAAATATGAGGCCTACAACACATACCAAACCCGCCTTGAAGTGTGGAAGAGAGGGCTTTACTTTCATTGTCACTATGTCAATCTGATTACTTTGACAGACTCAGTACTCTTCTGACTCTGAAATCTTTCTCCAGGTTATTTAAATGCCTAATTATCTAAACAGCACCAAAAACTTATGGCACAGCAGCTGTGAGCAAATTACACATTCTCAGATCAGGCCTCCTTCTCAAGACAACTTATGGATGTGAGTCATGTACTGTTACTCAAACAATGAAGAAAGACATTGAAACTTTTGAAGTGAAATGCTATATAAAAATTTAGAATACCATGGACCAAGAAGAAGACATTTACAGTGACATCCTACATGATCTAAATATCAAGGAAAACTGGCTCATAAACAGCATCATGTCCCAGAAGCTGCGATACTTTGGTTATGTTAAACTTTTGTGGAGCCTGGAGAGAACGGAGATGGAGGGTGCAGTTTCTGCAAAATGGAGATGAGGCAGAGAGCTGTTCAGATGGATACAAGATAGAGAGAACTAGCTGGTTGAGATGAACTGCTTAAACAGCAAGTTTGCTCCACCCAAAGAGTGCACTGCTGCACCCAGAGAACAATGGTCCAGCCAAAGTGCACTAATCCACCCAAGAGTGCACTGATCCACCCAAAGAGTGCACTGATTCACCAAAAAAGTGCAGATAAATCCAAAGAGTGCACTGATCCACCAAAAAAGTGCACTGATCCACCCAAAGAGTGCACTAATTCACCAAAAAAGTGCACAGGTCCATCCAAAGAGTGCACTGATCCATCAAAAAAGTGCAATGATCCACCCAAACAGTGCACTGATACACCCACAGAGAGCCAATCACAAACATGTTATAAAAAATATCACAGAAAAGTGGTCGAGTGCGTTTACTGCAACATAATCGAGTATTTTACAGATAACAATTTTAGACACTGCTGAGAAACTTCTGCATCATCATTTTCAGGGTTCGATTGGGAGTGACTTCAGTGGAGGTGAGTAGTACGTTGGTCATTGGGCTGCGATTTTCTCTAGCAATCCAGCTGACGATGGCATGCCGGTCGTAAGTGTACCCATCTGAAGGAATGAATTCACATTTATTGTTAGTGTTTGTCAGAACGGAACAAAATCATCTGGCAGCCACAGCGTACTACATGAGAACAACAGGCTATAAAGGGCAAAGGGCTGACCAAGAAAGAGATGGGTAAAAGAACCCTTTTCCACGCCTTTTGGGGTATTTGGGCAAAAAGAGCTAGACCCTATACTGTTTAGACCAATCAGCACTTGGTGGGTGATGTGATGTAGTCAGCCTCATGCTAACCACCTCCCCCACCCCTCTCCAAGGACTCGACCTGCTACCCTTAAGAGCTGGGGCAACTTGGGAGCCAAGGTCAAAAAAAAAAAGTGTCAGGCTCTGTCAGGACCTGAACTCATAACCTTCTGATCTGCAAGCGAGCTAGACACTGCTACACCAAGGTGGCTCCCAAAGTGATGGAGGCAGGGAGTGAGAAAGACACTATAAAAAAGCAATATGACATTAAAACAAACTAAGCAACTAGCAAAAGACAGGAAACTACTTCTAACTCCTCTCTGTGATGTTTTACAGCACAAGCAGTAGGACAAAAGACAGTAAACTGTACATCTCTCTCTCTGTGACGATTTACGACATAAGCAGTCGGACAAAAGACAGAAAACTACATCTCTCTCTCTGTGACGATTTACAACATAAGCAGTCGGACAAAAGACAGGAAACTACATCTCTCTCTGTGTGACGATTTACGACATAAGCAGTCGGACAAAAGACAGGAAACTACATCTCTCTCTGTGTGACGATTTACGACATAAGCAGTCGGACAAAATACAGGAAACTACATCTCTCTCTCTCTCTCTCTCTGTGACGATTTACGACACAAGCAGTTGGACAAAAGACAGGAAACTACATCTCTCTCTCTCTGTGACGATTTACGACATAAGCAGTCGGATAGAAGACAGGAAACTTCATCTTTCTCTGTGACGATTTATGACATAAGCAGTCAGACAAAAGAAGGAAACTACATCTCTCTCTCTCTCTGTGACGATTTACGACACAAGCAGTTGAACAAAAGACAGGAAACTACATCTTTCTCTCTGTGACGATTTACGACATAAGCAGTAGGACAAAAGACAGGAAACTACATTTCTCTCTCTCTGTGACAATTTATGATATAAGCAGTAGGACAAAAGACAGGAAACTACATCTCTCTGTGTGACGATTTATGACATAAGCAGTAGGACAAAAGACAGGAAACTACATCTCTCTCTGTGACGTTTTACAGCACAAGCAGTAGGACAAAAGACAGGAAACTACATCTCTCTCTGTGATGATTTATGACATAAGCAGTATGACAAAAGACAGGAAACTAGATCTCTCTCTGTGATGATTTATGACATAAGCAGTAGAACAAAAGACAGGAAACTAGATCTCTCTCTGTGACGATTTATGACATAAGCTTAATCACTTACTTACTTAGTCGCTCCTCTTCTACCTTAGGGTGTAGAGGTTTGCCAGAGGGATCGCCAGACGTCTCTATCAGCCGTTTCATTTGTGGCTTTTCTTCCATTCCAGTCCTCTGTCAGGCCTGCAGCTGGCTTCTGTGAGTCTGACTTCATACAAAGCTGTTCTTTTTTAAATCTGTATTTGCCCTCAAAAGGGTAGTTTGCACATTGTGTTGAATACTATCACTGTCACTACTGTCTGTTTTACCTTTTTTTTAAGGGCGGTGTAGACAGAACGCTCACGAGCCTGAGAATTTGGGGTTGCATGGCTAGTGCTGTCGCCATGGACTGTGCAGGTTACGATGTTTAATTTTGCCCCATTCAGAAAAACTTACTGGGAGTCAAACCCGGGTCCAACATTACCACTCGGTCAGGCACTCAGAGAGTAGACATCTATGGGCAAAAGACACAGCGTGTTAGTGTCCTCAATATATCAGTCTTTTCTTTTTAATTTTTTTTTGGTGTAACTCAGCTTCACAGACAAGTGACTCACCTGAAGCCATGACTGGGTCCTGCATCAACTCATGGGTAATGGGACACAAAAACTCCTCCGGGACACACTTGGACTGGGCTCCTTTGCCTGGGATTAATGTCTGCCGGGCTGTCGATCTTTCTCTGAGAATTTTGTTACGATGCCCAAGAGGACCTGGCAATTAGTTAGTTAGTTAGACTTTACTATTTCCTGATAAAATACAACTGCCGTGTGAAAGACGGGTGTTTGGAAGGGCTGAATGTACGACAGGCCTGCATGCCCAATTTATGACCTCGTGAAAATATAGTTTGTTCGTTCATTCATTCTTGAGCCTAGGGCAGAGGCTCTCCATGTCTGGCAGTTCTTTGCCACCTGTTTTAGGCCTTGGATGTTCATTAGGCCATGGTTGAGCCCTCCCTGATGATGATAATTCGCAGAGTCTCTCTGGGTCTTCCCCATATTCTTTCCACTTCCCTTCCGGTGGGTCAAAACTGGCGGGATGTGTCTCCCTCTTGATTGGCTAAAGACTGCTGATCGACCACCTGACATCATATGTTTTAGAATCAGATTTCTAGCTCTAAACGTTATGATGCACCTAGGAATGTTTGAATTTATATTATCTGTGTGTTGGGGAAAAAAGCAGGCAGACAGACTGGTCGGTTCTGCACCACTCTATGGTGAACTGATTGATGTACAACAAGCTAGTTGTGATGGACCTTTAGGAACAAGTGAACAGTGCGGAGGCACAAAAAAATCATTACGGTCTAAGAAGAATGGTGCTGCGGAGAGTTGCCAGGGTATCTGACTGACGCCCAACACTCAGGGGAAGGATGAGACGGATATACAATCAGACTGTCACTAATGACATTGGAATTGGAACTCTTCGCTTGCTGCTGAAGATGGGGGACGGAGCACTTATGGGAGTGTCCCAAGTACTGTAATGTAAATACTTAATTCAGCATTCAACAACATAACTTGATCTTTTGTGAGGTTACTTCACATTGTGGGTTCTTCGAGCCTGCCTTGCAAGCATATCACAAAAGCTGACTAGTTAGGGGTGTATTCTTCTGATGTAGTGTATCTGCTTGAGCGGCGAGGAACCAACAGCATACAAATAAGCCAAATATATGAAATGGATGTGCAGGCAAAACTCAGGTTCAGAAAAACAGACATATGATGAGTACAAATGAGAACAATGCAACAAGACTGTTTTTTTATAGGGACATAGAAATAAAGGCAAACCAAAAAAACACATGGAGAAGAGAGCTAGAGAGTGAGGTTGAAAAGATGTGGAAGACATGGGGCGACTTCCATGTTGCAGCAGATAGGATAGGATGATGTCAGTTGGTTGAGGGCCAATGCTTCATTGGGGATAAAGGTAAAAGAAGAAGAGACACAAACCAACCAGAGCAAGAGAAAGAGAAAGTTGAAAAAAAAAAAAAGGAAAGGTCCCTTTTCCACGCCTTTAGGCGTCTAGGGCATATAGGGCTAGACCTAAATTTTGTAGACCAATCGGCACAAGATGGGTGATGTGGTCAGCATCACGCCGGTAGCCTTTCATTTTCCGGGACCGGTACCCACTCAAGGCTGGGTCGACCTGGGAGCCAAGGTCATCTTTGAAAAAAAGTCCGGCTCCTCCAGGGAGCAAACCCATGACCATCCAATCCATGGCGAGTGTCTAGTTGCTCCGCCCCGGGGACTCCCATTGAGCATATGAGGCTAGACCTATATTTTATAGACGAGTCAGCACATGGTGGATGATGTGGTCAGCATCACGCTGGCCGCCTTTACTTCCCAGGACTGCACCTGATACCCACTCCAGAAAGATGAAGTAATATGAATAAAACCCATGCACAGCAGAAACAGCAGCCACTGTGGTGTAGTGGCTAGACGCTGGCCTGCGCATTAGAAGGTTGTGGGGTCAGATCCTGACGGAGCCAGACTTTTTTTTTTGCCCCCCAAAAGTGACCTTGGCTTCCAGGTCGACCTTGCCTTAAATGGATACCAGGTAAAGCCCTGGGAAGTAAAAGCGGCAGGCGTGATGGTGACCACATCACCCAGTGAGTGTCGACTGGTCTGTGAAATACAGATCTAGCCCTGTCTACATTCTTTGGACATGTGATGTGGAGGAGAAAACTGGAGTACATTACGACAGATAGGAGGAAAGTTGGAGGGCAGAGGGAGACAGAGAGAACAGATGCTGGACAGTTTGATATCATGGCATTGAGGATCATTTATACCAGAGTTGACTGACAAGTACACGAGGCAGAAGGTTGTGGATAGACATGACTACCAACACCACACAGCATGGACTTCAAGAAGAAGCTCTATATGTTTGAAGGTGGGTAAAAGGGTCCAATACTTTATTCACTTCACTTTGAGGGCACATTTAGAAACTTTCTGTTCTGCACTCACCTACACAAAGTACAGATACCAGATCTCCATCTGTCAAGGCCAGAAGCTCCTTCCCATCGATGGCGTTGGTTCGAAACTTCTCTACGTATTCAGCCAGACCCAGGGCATTTAACCAGATACAGACATCATCTACACTCCAGGTTTCTATGGCAACTTGTGAAAGACCCCCAATTGTAGGAGTAACTGTTGTACTTTCACCTTTTTCATAGCCATTTAAGTTTTCTGAAATATCAAGAAACATCAACATAATCTTTCTGCTTTATTTTTCACGCTTTTATTTCTTCAGAGAAAGTTATATAATTTTGTAATTTAAGTTAATGATCACTATATATTTCATCAAAAATGTTTAATACAATCTTTTCTGGTGTATAACAGTGAATTTCTTCTTCTTCTATGATCTGCTGTGGTTGTTATTCAATCTATGCTTGGTTAATATACATTTCTGTAACCTATGGTGACATCTCAATGGTCTGAGATGAAATCTGTCCGTATTCCATAGTTGTTGATTTCAAGCTGTACATGGCCCAAGAAGACAACTTTTTTTTTAGGGGTGCCTAGTTGGTCATGCATCTTCATACACTTGTTTCCATAGTGAGGCGCACACGCCATCTGGAGGTGACAGGTTCCATTCCCGGCAGGGTAATTATAGCTTTTTGATTTTTATGTTGTCCAGTGTATCTTTTTATCTTTCTCTGAGTGCCAATCAATACAGTGTTTTTGTTATTATATATGATATTTCTATGGCTTCAGCGGTTCCCCCTCTGTTAATTTATGTGTATTACGTGTAACACAATGGAATCTACCAATCAGATTTTTTCTTAAATGTTCATTGTATTCTAGACAAAGCATTATGGTCTGCTGTGTTTGTTATTTGACCTATGCTTTGTTAATATACATTTCTGTAACCTATAGTGCCATTTCAATGGCCTGAGAAGTCCATAAGTCCATCTATATTTCACAGTTGTGGATTTCAAGCTGTACGATAGACATGACCAATAAAGACGCATTTATTTAGGAGTGCCTAGCTGGTCATGCATCTTGGTACACTTGTTTCCATAGCAAGGCGCACATGCCATTCAGAGGTGACAGGTTTGATTTTCGGCATGGTAACTCTAGTTTTCAATTTTTATGTTGTCTGGTGTGTCCTTCCATATTTCTACTTCTTTCTATGAGTGCCGATCAATACATTTTCTGTTTGTTTATTACATTTAATATTTCAAGGCCTCAAGGTCCCCCCCCCTCCCCCCCCCCCCCCCCAGAGGGCAATGGGTTTAGGTTTAGTCTTATCTTTGACCCAAAATGGGTCCCTGGGACCCATACGGGTCAGTAATACTCAATACCAGCATAATGGTTACAAAATGTTGCTGCCATCACAGCCCACCTGAAAGATACGATCCCTCGGCAGATCTCCTGACACGAGCAAGTGACTTCTATCTCCTCTGCCCATCGTCATGCTGGTCAGCCCCTGCCTCTTCTTTGCCGCTCACATGCCCCCCACTACTGATCTTTCCAATCCACCATGCCACTTGATATCGTTAAAGTATTTCAGTATCTGACAGTTGTAATAAAGCACCACTCACTCTCTTCTTACTCTTTTGTCACCCCTCAAGTGTCGAAGGAGATACAACGTTCTGCCAATAGTTCTTCTGGCTGCCTCGACCATAGACTCATCATGCTGCTGTAGAGTTTCTCTGATGTTGTCTTTCCATTTTGTTCCTGGTCTACCTCATGCTCTATGGTCTTCTCCTCCTTCAGTGCATGCCTTGTATGGTATAGTGTCACAGGGCATTCTCTCTAAGTGGACAAACCATTTGATTTGCTGTCTTTGTATGTAATTTAGAATTGGTCCTATGCCAACCTGTTCTCTTATGATCTCACTCCTGGTTTGATCTCTTCTGGTCCCTACTGCACCTGTTCTCAGACACCTCATTTCCAGTTTCTAATTTTCTTGTCTGGTTTCTTGTGTGTGACCATGTCTGGCACTGGTAGCTGAGGCTGGTAATGAATATTTTTCGTATGAGATGTTTCTTTGTGCTGATTGGGACTGCCTTACACTGCAGCCGATTAATTTATTTAGTTAACTTACCATCTTCGGTGTGTGTGCTCCAATATTCAAACTGGAAATGCCTGTTTAATGCCTCTGCACTATACTGTTATAGGTAGGTTCTGCTTATTTCTTCCTAATGACACTTTTCAGTGTTAATTCTCATATTATTTAAAGCACAATCAACCATAAAACAGATTTTTTTGATAAGGTGAATCCAGAACATCAGAAAGTAACAAATCTACATCCTTTGCTCATTTGATGAGATGATGAAAACTGGAGTACATTGTGATGGTGGGAAAGTTGGAAGAGAAGAGAGGCAGAGGATGACAGAGAAAGAGGATGCTGGACACTCTGACATCATGGCATGGAAGACCATCTGTGTCAGAAGTGACTAAAAGTTCACAAGACAGAAGGTTGTGGACAGACATCACTACCAACGCCTCATGACATGGACTATAAGACGAAGAATCCAAAACATACGCATAATCTGTGACGTGTCCGTAAGCTGCCAGATTTTCACAGTGCAGTCGTTGGATGCTGTGGCCAGGCGTCTGCTGTCGGCAGAGAAGGCACACGCGGCTACATAGCTGAAACCACAGGAAGTAAATAAGAGTAACCAAGACATTCAACCATGACAAACATCATTCAACCATGACAAACATCATTCAACCATGACAAACATCATTCAACCATGACAAACATCATTCAACCATGACAAACATCATTCAACCATGACAAACATGTTGTGCAATTCTTCTTCTTCTTCTTTTTGGTGTACACCGACTGTAAACTCAGGTTGAAAGTTCTGGTTGTTCAGGCACTTCTGGACTTTAGTCTTGTTCCAGAACCTGAGTGTTGTGTGCACATCTGGTTTACACATCTGTCTTATCTGTATGCAGACTGGTTGTTCTTGCACTTCTGGACTTTAGTCTTGTTCCAGAACCTGAGTGTTGCGTGCACATCTGGTTTACACATCTGTCTTATCTGTATGCAGACTGGTTGTTCTTGCACTTCTGGACTTTAGTCTTGTTCCAGAACCTGAGTGTTGCGTGCACATCTGATTTACACATCTGTCTTATCTGTATGCAGACTGGTTGTTCTTGCACCTCTGGACTTTAGTCTTGTTCCAGAACCTGAGTGTTGCGTGCACATCTGATTTACACATCTGTCTTATCTGTATGCAGACTGGTTGTTCAGGCACCTCTGGACTTTAGTCTTGTTCCAGAACCTGAGTGTTGCGTGCACATCTGGTTTACACATCTGTCTTATCTGTATGCAGACTGGTTGTTCAGACACCTCTGGACTTTAGTCTTGTTCCAGAACCTGAGTGTTGCGTGCACATCTGGTTTACACATCTGTCTTATCTGTATGCAGTCTGGTTGTTCTTGCACCTCTGGACTTTAGTCTTGTTCCAGAACCTGAGTGTTGCGTGCACATCTGGTTTACACATCTGTCTTATCTGTATGCAGACTGGTTGTTTTTGCACCTCTGGACTTTAGTCTTGTTCCAGAACCTGAGTGTTGCGTGCACATCTGGTTTACACATCTGTCTTATCTGTATGCAGTCTGGTTGTTCTTGCACCTCTGGACTTTAGTCTTGTTCCAGAACCTGAGTGTTGCGTGCACATCTGATTTACACATCTGTCTTATCTGTATGCAGACTGGTTGTTCTTGCACCTCTGGACTTTAGTCTTGTTCCAGAACCTGAGTGTTGCGTGCACATCTGGTTTACACATCTGTCTTATCTGTATGCAGTCTGGTTGTTCTTGCACCTCTGGACTTTAGTCTTGTTCCAGAACCTGAGTGTTGCGTGCACATCTGGTTTACACATCTGTCTTATCTGTATGCAGTCTGGTTGTTCTTGCACCTCTGGACTTTAGTCTTGTTCCAGAACCTGAGTGTTGCGTGCACATCTGGTTTACACATCTGTCTTATCTGTATGCAGACTGGTTGTTCTTGCACCTCTGGACTTTAGTCTTGTTCCAGAACCTGAGTGTTGCGTGCACATCTGGTTTACACATCTGTCTTATCTGTATGCAGTCTGGTTGTTCTTGCACCTCTGGACTTTAGTCTTGTTCCAGAACCTGAGTGTTATGTGCACATCTGGTTTACACATCTGTCTTATCTGTATGCAGACTGGTTGTTCTTGCACCTCTGGACTTTAGTCTTGTTCCAGAACCTGAGTGTTATGTGCACATCTGGTTTACACATCTGTCTTATCTGTATGCAGACTGGTTGTTCTTGCACCTCTGGACTTTAGTCTTGTTCCAGAACCTGAGTGTTGCGTGCACATCTGGTTTACACATCTTTCTTATCTGTATGCAGTCTGGTTGTTCAGGCACCTCTCAAGTAGATGCACACTGACTTTGAAGCAAGTAATTGTGGAATTCAACAAAGATTAGATCTGCTACCAAACTAACAATACTTAACTCATCAACACACTAACATCATTGTTGACAGCAACAACTTTAACAACTCAAAATCATCAACATTAAGAGCATCAAATTAATGTTAAAAACAGGAAATCATCAACACTGATACCACCATCATCAATGTTAACAGGTGAAGTGGTCGAACTGTTTATCTCACACTCTGAAGGTCGCAGGTTTATTTCAGGGCTGCGTCATTCAGTTTCTGTGTAAAAATTTTTAACGGAGATCCTTGAGGATTGTCGACGGAGCTTTGTGTTCGTGCATTTTACAACATCTTCAGCAAGCTGTTTTGTGGAGAGAGACTGAGCCACAAGGGATAACCTTAATCAATATTAACTGTATCATGATCACTAAATTTAACATCGCCAAAATTTATATCGTGATCATCAGTATTATCAACATCATCAAAACTAATAGTGTAATTATCAACATTAACAACATCATCTGAATTAATTGCATGATCATCGACATTAACAACATCATCAAAACTAATAGCCTAATTATCAACATCATCAAAACTAATAGCATGATCATCAACATTAACAACATCATCAAAACTAATAGCATAATTATCAACTTTATTAACATCATAAAAACTAATAGCATAATTATCAACATCATTAAAACTAATAGCATAATTATCAACATTATCAACATCATTAAAACTAATAGCATAATTATCAACATTATCAAAACTAATATAATAATTATCAACATTAACATCATCATCATCATAATTAACATCATCAACATCAACATAATCATCAACACTAACAATATCAACATCATCAACATCACAATCAACAGTAACATCAACATCATAATCGACATTAGCAATATCCTAAACATTAACAACACCATCAACATTTAACATCATCATCAAAATAAGCAGCAACATCAACATCTTCATCACCAAAAACAACATCCTCATTACTAATAACATCATCAAAATCAACATCATTGCCAACAAAAACATAATCAACTATGATAACATCATCATCACTAATAACATTCTCAACATTAAGGACATTATAAGCACCAATAACATCATCAACATTAACAAAATCATAAGCATCAACAACACTAAAACATGAGAAAGAGAACAGATATTCCAAACATACCTGGAATGTTCATCAATGCAAATTAAGGCTTGTTTAGTTTCCTGACAATATAGAAAACAAAAGTAACTTTAAGGGTTCAACTTATGGATAATAACTTTCTTTAACCTTTAAAAAATACAAAACATGAGTTAACAACAGAAACTTTAACAATTCATCTGCGTAAAATGTATTTCTTTTAACTTTTATTAAATGAAATAAAACAAGTTAGCAAGAATTAACAGTAGCAATTAAATTATGACCAAAAAAATATCAATTTCTTATAACTTTAATCAAAAGAAATATATGAAATAAAAAATATGAAATAAGAAGCTAAAAGGATAACTTTATTGGTCCAACCACTAAAAAATGAAATTTCTGTCATCATCATCATAAACCACTTCTGCCATTAAGCGTCGTGGGGAGGAATAATTTGCAATCCAGCCCACGTTGGCTGCCACTGGCTATTGTCATGCCGTGAAGGCGTAGAATGTCTTTAATGTTGTTGATCCATGTTTTCCGTGGCCATGCTCTTGTAGCTGATCTTCTGAGATGTAGTGCTTGTGATGGTATTTGATTTTGCTGCATTCTAACGAGATGGCCAAACCACTTGATCTGCTGTTTAAAAAATAAATATGAACAAAACAGGCAACTTACTGGATTCCACAGTCGCGCTGTTTTGTCAAGAGAACTGCAAACAAGATTGAATAAGATTTAATTAAAATCAGAACAGAATATCTTCTAAAAAAATTAACAACATGAAGAAAACAACAATTTAATACAACTGTAAAATGGTGTGGATGACCTGAGGAAATCCGGAGAAAGACAGTAGACAGAGGAATATCAAATGACATGGGATACCATGGGCAGAAAGATAACATTATCCATCTCCATGTGGAACACAATTTTTCTTTATCTGAAGCTCCACCTGGGATGTTGCCGGGGGCCCTATTATAACCCAACCTATGGGTTGAACAGGGTTTCTAGGACCTGTCCCAGGGTGATCCTCATCTGAATGGTGAAACTTTGTGTCAACAGGTGTTTATCGCTCGGTGTGATGTCCTGGTTGGGTAAAATGTCAATCATCAGCCGTGGGGAAAAGCAACAGCCTGGCAGCAAGGAAGATCACACAAACGAGTCCATTTTCGAACTGCCCCCCTCCTCCTTTTAACAATCAAATTTAATGTCTTCCCTATAGTTTAACCTTCACTCTATTGCTACATATCATGAAGGCAGAGAATAGCAGATAATAGCGATTAAAACTGCATACACAAGAGTTGAATGGGATTACAACACAAGGCAGAGTAAGAAGATGGTGGAGAGATAGTGTACATGCAGGCTTACAAACACCCCCAGCAAAGAGAAGGCCAATGATAACTGATAACAATAAATTATATAACATACCACGATGCCAGGTATTTGCCATCTGGGGAGAAGCAAAGCCACAACACGGAATCTTGATGTCCTGGTAGCATGGTATTCAGATGAACTGACACATCTGCAAAAGAAGGCATAAGAGTATTTCATGATTACCAATACACAACTGGTGTTGTGAGCCGTTGCATGCTGGGGGATTTACTAAGGAGGGGATCGAAGCACTTATAGACTGAATGGTTTGACGTGCAATGAGGATAATCTGTCGACCAACTAACTAACTAAATAACTAACTATGACTGATGTCATGGCGTGAGGACCTTAGCAGTATAGTCTTTTTCTTCGTGTTCACATACCGTAAACTCTGGTTAAAACTTCTGGTTGTTCATCCACTTCTGGACTTGAGTCTTGCTTCAGGGATTGAGTTTTCCATGCACCTCTGTTTTACAGATCTGGTTTATTTGTATGCAGCCTGTTGGTTCCCCACCTCTCAGGCAGATGCACTCTGACCTCGAAGGAAACACTCATAGTAATCTTTTACTGACATCCTTGGTTTGGACGGGGAGAGGGGAATGGGTCTATTTTTTTTCTTCTTCTCCCAAAATGGGAGATTTTGATTAGGTTAAGGAATGAAATAGTGATTTAATCCAGAGAAGGAATGAAATAGACAGTGATTTAATCCAAAGAAGGAATGAAACAGTCAGTGATTTAATCCAAAGAAGGAATGAAACAGTCAGTGATTTAATCCAGAGAAGGAATTAAACAGTCAGTGATTTAATCAAGAGAAGGAATTAAATAGTGATTAAATCCAGAGAAGGAATGAAACAGTCAGTGATTTAATCCAGAGAAGGAATGAAAGAATCAGTGATTTAATCAAGAGAAGGACTGAAATAGTCACAGATTTACTCAAGAGAAGGAATGTAACAGTCAAGTGATTTAGTCAAGCACTGCTGATTTACTCAAGGAGAGGAATGATATAGTCACCGATTTACTCAAGAGGAAGAATGAAATAGTCACCGATTTATTCAAGAATAGGAATGAAACAGTCACTGATTTAATCCATAGAAGGAATGGAATGCTCCCGGTTGGAATCAAGGAAAAGAATGACTGATTGCTTTAATCAAGATGGAAAAAAATAATCAATGTTGAATCAACAGGAAGAGTGAAATACTGACTGCATCAAGGAGAAGCATTAAACATTGACTGACTGAATCAAGAAGAATGAAATAGTGACTGCATTTAAAAAAAAGAAAAAGCATGAAATACTGATTTACTGTCAGAAAATCAATAAATACTCACCGACTAAATCAACAAGAATAATGGAATATTCAACAACTTGTTTCTGTGTTGGCCCTATATAGGGTAGTTGGAACACTGTTGTGGTTTACTTCTGTGTTGGCCCTATATAGGGTAGTTGGAACACTGTTGTGGTTTACTTCTGTGTTGGCCCTATATAGGGTAGTTGGAACACTGTTGTGGTTTACTTCTGTGTTGGCCCTATATAGGGTAGTTGGAACACTGTTGTGGTTTACTTCTGTGTTGGCCCTATATAGGGTAGTTGGAACACTGTTGTGGTTTACTTCTGTGTTGGCCCTATATAGGGTAGTTGGAACACTGTTGTGGTTTACTTCTGTCTTGGCCCTATATAGGGTAGTTGGAACACTGTTGTGGTTTACTTCTGTGTTGGCCCTATATAGGGTAGTTGGAACACTGTTGTGGTTTACAGCAAGGATGCGATATCTGCAGCTTTCTGCCCAACAGATCCAATTTCAGCAAACTCCTATAACTCACTTTTCCCAATTTCCTTGATGAGGGGGAGCGGGGAGATTTTCTATTCTTCCCCACCCCCTAAATGAGGCCTCGGAACCCACAGGGGTGTTCAGTGACTACTTTTTCTTCTTCTTTGTTCACCTGCTGTAAGCTCTCGAGGAAAGTCCAAGTCCTAGTTGTTCATCCATTTGGACTTGATTGAGTTTTGGCTGTACATCCCTTTTACTGACTTATTTGTGTGTAGTTGTTTGTTTCTTGTCGCTCGGACATATGTACTCTGACTTCAAAGGAAGCTCCAAATTACCCGACTTCTAAGACGTTCTTTTTGGGGAGGCAGGGGGTCTATTCTTGTTTTCCCCCACAATGTGGGGCCTCAGAGCCCACATGGGGTGTTCAATGACAGAATCATGGAGAAGAATGAAGTACTCACTGACTGAACCAACCTCGCAATCAAAGTACCACAACTTGACCAGGTTGTCCTTGCCTCCTGTGGCTAGCAAGAACCTGCCAAAAGGGCTGGATGTGGCCGACTTCCCTGTTTAAAAAAACAAGTTCAACAAAACTTTAAGTTAGAAGACAGGATCAACTTCATCTCCCAGGGTTATGCTGAATGCAGATCAATCTTTCTCCACAGAAGGGCTAGCCGCCTGCCGAGAGTGTCACATAAGGTGCAAACTCAGTGGCTCCAACAATAATCCCTGCTGCATCTGTGAACTTCTTCTTCTTCTTCTTTGCGTTCATCGGCTGTAAACTCTGGGGGAAAGTTATGGTTGTTCGTCCACTTCTGGACTGCAGTCCTGTTTCAGAACCTGAGCGTTGCGTGTACATCCATTTGACAGATATGACTTATTTGCATGTAGACTGTTGGTTCCTTGCCTCTCAGGCAAATGCAATCCGACTTCGAAGAAGGCTCCCAGTTAGTCGACTCTTACGACATACTTTTGGGTAGGCAGTGTGTCGATTCTTGTTTTCTCTATAATAGGGCCCGGGAACCTGTGAACTAAATGATGTAAGCGGAAATGAACCCACGATCTCCAGAGTGCAAGCAAATGGTTTGGCCAATTTACCACGGAGACCCTATAGAGATGTTACCTTATAATAGGTTTCCAAGTAGGGAAGTTCTTTTTCTTAGCATTCAGCGACAGTAAACTAGACTTTGGTCTTCTTCCAGAATTTGAGAGCTGTGCCAAACGTGGGAGAAAATTCACAACACAGCATACGCTAACAACCTACCAACTACAATGTAAATTAACAACCTGCCAGCTGTTAGAAACACCATTACCAACTTACCAGCTGTTCCAGAAAACACAACACAGCACAAGCTAACAACTTACCACCTACAATATAAATTAACAACCTGTCAGCTGTTAGAAACACCATTACCAACTTACCAGCTGTTCCAGAAAACACAACACAGCATACGCTAACAACCTACCAACTACAATGTAAATTAACAACCTGTCAGCTGTTAGAAATACAATTACCAACTTACCAGCTGTTCTAGAAAACACAACAGAGCACAAGCTAACAACCTACCAACTACAATGTAAATTAACAACCTGTCAGCTGTTAGAAACACCATTACCAACTTACCAGCTGTTCCAGAAAACACAACAGAGCACAAGCTAACAACTTACCAACTACAATGTAAATTAACAACCTGTCAGCTGTTAGAAACACCATTACCAACTTACCAGCTGTTCCAGAAAACACAACAGAGCACAAGCTAACAACTTACCAACTACAATGTAAATTAACAACCTGTCAGCTGTTAGAAACACCATCACCAACTTACCAGCTGTTCTAGAAAACACAACACAGCACAAGCTAACAAATGTAAATTAACAACATGTCAGCTGTTAGAAACACCATTACCAACTTACCAGCTGTTCCAGAAAACACAACAGAGCACAAGCTAACAACTTACCAACTACAATGTAAATTAACAACCTGTCACCTGTTAGAAACACCATTACCAACTTACCAGCTGTTCTAGAAAACACAACAGAGCACAAGCTAACAACCTGCCAACTACAATGTAAATTAACAACCTGTCACCTGTTAGAAACACCATCACCAACTTACCAGCTGTTCCAGAAAACACAACACAGCACAAGCTAACAAATGTAAATTAACAACATGTCAGCTGTTAGAAACACCATCACCAACTTACCAGCTGTTCCAGAAAACACAACACAGCACAAGCTAACAAATGTAAATTAACAACATGTCAGCTGTTAGAAACACCATTACCAACTTACCAGCTGTTCCAGAAAACACAACACAGCACAAGCTAACAACTTACCAACTACAATGTAAATTAACAACCTGTCACTTGTTAGAAACACCATTACCAACTTACCAGCTGTTCTAGAAAACACAACAGAGCACAAGCTAACAACCTGCCAACTACAATACAAATTAACAACCTGTCAGCTGTTAGAAAAACCATCACCAACTTACCAGCTGTGCCAAATGTGGGAGAAAACTCACAACAGAGCACACCCAAGTCATGACAATCTGGGATTCGCTTCAAGAACTTCCCGTGCCCGTACTGAGCATCCCAGACCAGCAGCTCCCCACACAGGTCCCCGCCAGAGCAACCAGTGATGATGTAGTTACTATCTGGGGTAAATGTGGCTGCAGTCACACTCTCTTCATGGCCTTTGAAACTTCTGCGCAGAGAAAAAAAAAGGTTATTAAGGTTATTATAAAAATCTGATGAATTTAAATCACTTGTTACTTATCACTGTGTGGGTTCCTTGATCCCATTGGGGGGGGGGGGGGGGGGATCAATGCACGGCCTCTTTAACAAGCATGTCACACAAGGCGACTAATTAGGGAAGTTTCCTTAAAAGTCGGTGTTAGAACATCCAAACATAACTATAAGTGCAAAGAGACAGATAATAGTGTTAGAACAATAAAACATAACTTTAAGTGCAAAGAGACAGATAATAGACAATATTCATTCCAATATTAAGCTACCAGTGCCAAACATGGACAGTATCTAAAGCCCATATACGCAAAATCACATATTTGAGATGAGATGCCTCAGAAGAGCAGCCAACTTAGCCAACTAAGATTAAGTGAATAATGACACTATAAGATAAATTGTGGGAACAACACCTTGTACTAGATTCATCGAGAAACAGCAGATCAAGTGGTTTTGCCATCACGTCAGAATAAAACAAGATCAAATACCATCACAAGCACTACATCTCAGAAGATCAGCTACAAGAGCAAGAGGACAGCCACGAAAAATATGGATCGACAACATTATAAACACACTACACCTTCACGGCATGACAATAGCCAGCGACAGGAAGCGTACACTGGATAACAAATTATTTCTCCTAACGATGCTTAACGGCAGAAATGCTTTATGATGATGTTGATCTGCCTGAGAGGCAAAGAACCAACAGTCTGCATACAAATAACTCTTTCAGTCCCAAGGAACCTAACATACATTCATTGGTTCCTACATAGAAGCCCAGTGAACACAAGACACTCTGATTTTATATCTCTCTTTACCACCCCCTGGGCATCTGATGCTAAACCCCCTGGGCCTCTGATGCTAAACCCCCAGGGACAGAAAGAGATCTGTCAAATAAATGTGCATGCAAAACTACAGTTCTGGAACAAGACCAAAGTCCAGAAGTGGACGAACAACCAGAACTTTCTGTTGGAGTTAACAGCTGGTGAATGCTAAGAAGAAGAAGAATTATCACTTGCTGCTTGTTTTTTCGCATCGACATCCCAACACATCAGTCAGAGCATTCCGTGCTCCGACCTCCGCTACAGCAGCCATCCCCGTGTCTCCATGCTCACAGCACTCAGTAGGAGTTGACTGGCAGATCTTCTTTCTGTGCCCTGCAACAGGTTTCCGCACGTGTCCTTATTTAATCCCCATTTCCAACAGGCAGCTGGTTGTCTCTGACTCCTTTGTCTCAAAATTACTGTAACAGAGCCCACTCAGCTGAGTTTAGTTGAGTCAAGAATTGACATCACAGCACTCAGTGCATTTCCATGTGTGCTCCATCCTCATCTTCAGCAGCCAGCACAGAGTTCTAATACTGATGGTACCAATCTGGTTCTTCGTCCGTCTTGCCTTTTCTCTGAGTGTAGTGAGCCAGCCAGACCCCCTGATCACACCCAGGTGCATCACTCTCTCCCATTATAATCTAGTTTCTCTTCTGACTTCGTTACTTGTTCCCAAAGGGCCCTGACTACATCTGCCTTGTCATAAATCAATTCACCACCCAGTGGTGCAGATCCAACTAATCTGTCTGCCCCTTCATTCCGCCACCATGCCAGCGTAGCCTAGAGAAAAGATCCAACGATGACTCAGTTGAATAAGCCTGGACTATGCTTATCGGCACAGCATATGAGATCAACATACCTGATCAATTTCTTTTCAGAGACATTCCACAAGCAAGCGGAGTCATCATCTCCACCGGTGACAACCATAGCCCCATCAGAGGAGAAGCAACAAACCCGTATGGCACATGAGGTGGGGTGGGACAGTTTGGCCAGGACATCTCCTGTTTCCGTATTCCACAACCGCAAGGTACCATCAGTGGAGCAGGTGGCCAGTATGGTTCCCGATGGTGAAAAATCACAGCAATTGATCTGGAAAAAAAAAAAAACAACACATGGCAGTTAAAAGACACCAGTAGAGTGACATTTAGCTGCATATCCTTTACAGAAGCATTCCTCGACTTTTTTTTCATCCCTGACCCACCAAAACAGGAGAAACATAGAAACAAAAACAAATGCAGATAGCAGCTGATCTGTTAAATCTGATGACACAAAACTACATTTGTCAGTTAATGTGACATCTACTGGTGTGTAGAGGTTAGTTGGGTATCCTTTACAGGACGTTGCAGAACCAACCCCAAAGCCCCTGGCTGTTGTGTGGTTTTTCTAGGCAAATTTACATCCAGTAAATCCAGTCTGGACGGTTGGCTTTCTTGATACCGCTGTCGAAACCAACGCAAGGCGCATGGCCCGCAGTTGGGAATCGAACCCGGCATCTACTGGTGTGTTGAGGTTAGATAATCGGATATATGTGGCTTGAGCATTGTTTTGGATAGATGAAGTGCTGCAATAACATTTATTCGATTTCTCTGTTTGGTTTCTAATAACTGTTTTATGTGGTTGAACATGGTTTCTAATAACTGTTTTATGTGGTTGAACATGGTTTCTAATAACTGTTTTATGTGGTTGAACATGGTTTCTAATAACTGTTTTATGTGGTTGAACATGGTTTCTAATAACTGTTTGATGTGGTTGAACCTGGTTTCCCCGGGATTAGAACCTGTCTGATTTTACCCTTGAGGTGTTAATCCTACCGGCCGCAATCCTGGAAAAGGACAAACTACCAACCCGACCCTGTTATGTGATTAGACAGACATTTTGGCGGCCCACCATTGGCCGAGGGTTTGAAGAACACTGCTTTATATGATGCTGCAAACTGACCCTATTATTGCTGTCAGTCTGTAGTTTTAAAATCGGCGCTTTCGATCTATGAAAGCACATATGGGTGGAGAATTGGCTACAGAAAGAGAGACTTTCAGGCGTGCTGTGAGGAGAGTGATGTTCTGTAAAGGACATGCACACTGACTGATTGACTGTGGTTTTACTAGGCACTTTTAACTTCAGAAGATTCACAAAGCCTTTTTACACACTTTTGGGGAGAGTCTTATGACAAATCTTTGGACAGAAAAGATGCAAAAACAGAGAATGGAGAGAAGCAACAAAGAAATTCATAATGTGTTTAAATCACCACTTATTATTAGCATCATGCAACTGGAATTGCAACCTGAAAACTTTATATTATGGCAGGGTAGACCAGATCCTTAGCCCTGGCTGGCAGCTGGTCTGGGGGGGGGGGGGGGGGGGGGGGTGGGGGGGGGGGAAGCACTGAAGTATGATGTGTTCTAAAGGTAGGGTGTTACCTTTCTGCTGGAGTAAACAAGGCAGGTCAAGTGAGGGGTCATGATGTATGGGCAACACATGGTCTCTACAGTACAGCCCAGGCTTTGTGCTATGGAGAGGAGAATCTTTGTAACGTGGCTGGATCTTGCTAGTCACACTCGCCATCACCATGGGATGTGAATCCTGTGCCTCCTCATAGCACTATATAACACTATCAACTTAAAAGACGGAAAGGTGCCAATAAATTGGTTGGAGGCAGATAGAGAGAATGGCAGATGACAGAGAGACGAAAACTGCATGCACAAGAGTTGAATCAGAGTAGACTACGAGGCAGACCAAGAAGACAGTGGAAAGATAATATCTAGGCAGACCTACAAACACTTGGAAAGAGAAGGTGAATCATGGAGATAAATGGAAGTAGACGACATCAACATTGACATCACTGAGCCTGAAGGGCTTAAAATGCTAAAGAAGTAGTAGTTTGCTTTTGCTTTCTGAATGGTTCAATGACCACATGGTTGTCAAAATCAACATAAAGCAGTCTGCTAACAAACTGAATGCAGCCGATTCTGAACCCCTAAACAGGAATTCATATGTAACTGAATCGAGCTTTCAAGGTCTAAAGGACATCATTTCTTAGTGCACACAAACTGTATTTATTATTTATTTATTACGCACAGACAATGTGAGGGCTGTACTTTAGCACTGAGCCAGAAAGGGAGTCCATTCACTAAGCTTATTTCAATCAATGCAAGCCTTTGTCAACACACTGGTAAGAACTGGGGCCCTGGAGCCCACACAGACACTACTGCTATGTAATGGCACAGATAGCTGAGAAATACATACTTCTGTAAAGGTTTGAATGACTCAGAACTTTACACATTGATATATCTAAAAGGGGAAAGGGGGGGGGGGGGGGGGGTTGAAATTAAAACCTTAAAAGTGTGCTAGAAATTATAATAACCATTGTTAAGGATGTCAACAGTGTTAAGCATGTGACATCACAGTGCAGATGAACATGGTGACATGATACTGACAGTTTAAAGATGACCCTTCCACTTTTGACATGCACAAAAGAAGAGCAGTGTTCTGTTACCATTTATTTATAAAAACAGTGAGGGTGTGAAACCTACAGAAATTCATCAGCGAATGAAAGTCCATTATGGCGATGTATACCTGGCAGTCCAGCAGCTGTATGAGTAGAGAAGGAAGTTTAAAAAAGGCTACAACTGACTCTGGGGTCTCTACTAAGTGTGCCTGATCCGTTCATGAGCAATCTGTGACAGATGTGATGCCTTTTTGGAACTTCCTATTTGTTTTTGTTTTTTTTAAATCTGAAGTCCCATCACATATCATCTTTATTTTGCTGCTGATACGTAAAGAATTCACACATGCTCTCCATTACTGCCGGTCTGCTACTTCTCTGCCCATAGTACCCCATGTCATTTTATATTTCTACATTTTTCTTTTTTAACTGTCCTTCTCCTTAGGTCATCCGGGTCTATTTTTGTTTCTATCTTCCGTCCATCGGAAAGCTGTCCTTGCCAAAGTGTCATGAGGGATTCTGCAAACATATCCAAGCCATCTCTGTCTTCTTCCTTTGGTAGCTTTTGCCAGTGATGAATATATTGTTTTTATAAATTAGTTCTTCATTTGTGATTTTGTTTGGCAAACATATTTGTAGGATTCCCCATCTCATCTCTTCTTGATCCTCATGTGGTGTTGAGGCGAAGCATTATAGTCAGCCTCTGTTTTGCTTCCCACCTGGTGTGTGTGTAAATCATTGCTTGCTGGGGTATACTATTTGTTGGCATCCATGTTATGTGGCCAAACCTGTAGACATTTATAACTTCATATTTACTAGAGAAATCTGTCAGAGGTTAGTGACCAGTTCTTATTCTCATATGAGCCATGGACCAGGCTGATAAACTAAATACTCTACAAGAAATGGGTCTTTAGTGAGAAACAAGTGACTCTGAAACTGCAACCATGATGAGACCGAAAAAACAGCAAATTAAAACAGGTGTGGCCAGACAAGAGCACTAGGCAGGAAGCCAAAGAAAACAAGTTCCGCTGGACCAAGAGGTGAAGAAAAGATGCTGGCGTTGGATAGGACACAGGCTGAGAACAATATAACCAGAATGTGGAACCCTCAGGGGCATAGAAATAAAGGAAGATCCAAAAAATACATAGAGAAGGAAGATAGAGAGTGAAGTTAAAAAGATAGGGAGAGCTGCATGCGATAGCGAAGGATAGAACGACATGGCCATGTTGGTTGCGAGCCTATGCTTCACTGGGGGATAGAAAGGCAGAAGAAGAAAGAAACATGAGAAACCAACACAGAATTGGTGTTGTCAACTGCTACACACAGTGGGATTTACTGAGGGGATTCAAGCACTAATCGACTGAATGGTTCAGTGTGCAATGAGGATAATATGACAACTAACTAACTATCTCAAACTCACGGTAATTTCCTTCACCAACTCCTTCAGAACAGGATATTTTGTTCAAAAGTTAAACATGACAGTTTAAGATGGTCAACAGTTAAAACATTGCAACTGACTCACATCATACAATGGTCACAAGCTGAAACCAGATAACAATAAGCATCACACAGATTAAGACTGTCAAGAATTGAAAATATCACGCACAAATCACATAACTTAATATTGTCAAACGTTGACACACTACACACAACAGCCACAGCTAGAGATGGTTACAAGACAAAACACCACACACAACTGAATGAAAAACCTTTATTTTTAAAGGATCACAAATTGGGCATACAGGCCCATCCTATATTTGCCTCTTCTAAAGTTAACCATTTCGCTATGTGAATACTCAAAACAAAAAAGGGTCATGAACCTATGGAAATTCCTGAAAAAAATCTTTTGCAAAAAACAACAACCATTTTACACAGGCCACTAATAAATGTTTAAAAATTTACTTCTCTATATTTTGAAATTTACTTTAGAAGCATAATAAGATATATCAAATGGATAACCAATGAACATGAACATAGTGAAGCATAAATCCTTAGCATGCCTTTACCCCTAGACCTCAACCACCGAGGCCTACAGGAAAATTTGACATCAGCTTGGCTTTAGAAAAGCCATTGGTGTCATAAGGAAACCCCTTTAAATACCATTGTTCCCGAATACAGGCCTATTAAATAATGCACAGACATAGCCAATGGAATTCAACTATCATGATGATGATGATGTGCCTTGACAGCTGGCGTAGGCGCTCATGCGTCTCTACAGATTACAATCCCTGGTTGTCTGGAACAGATCTCTTGATATCCATCCATGTCATCATTTCAGCCCATCCAGCATCATCTCTCTTGGTCTGCCTCTACCCCCTTTTCCACTGATCTTTCCAGCTGCCATGATGTTTTCCAATGTCTCTCTTCTCATTATGTGGCTAAAGAACAGTGTTTGTCTCTTTCTTATTGTTGTATATCGAGATCCACTTATCTAATTTACATATTCAACTATGCTTTTCTAGAACAGGACACAGAAGACATACTGATACATACAGAAGTAACAAGACTGAAGTCTTCTGCAGTGTTAAAATGATCAAACTTCACTCACCGTGTATTGATGTCCCAATAAAGGCGAGTAAGGCAATTCTGTGTAATCTTCAGTTCGCCACAAACGTGCAGTTTTGTCAGAAGAACATGTAGCTAAAAC